GCTCGTTTGAGAGGTGGCTCAGCCTAGAGGTGTAGTGGATATCTGCTGTCTTTTTCAATAAAATTTGCTAAAATATAATCAGAAAATGCTGATACCTTATCATTGTTAGAAGCAATAGAAAATAGTTCATAATGCACATAAGATATTATATTTTTATAAGGTAAAAAAACTAATCCAAAAAAAAGACTTTTATCATTTTGAAATTTCTGATTCATTTTTGTCATATTCAATTTTAAGTCCCAATTTTCCCTATATATTTTATTAAAAATAATAATTTAATTTAATTTAATTATTAATAATCTTAAAATGAAACTTATAGTGTATCAGGTGCAATATTTATTTTTGCGCTTTTATCCCGCTATTAAGGTATAAAAGCGCAAAATGAATTTGCATTTTTGGTCCATCGAAAAAAAATAGACGATTTGCGCTTTTGGGTTTCACCGACATTATGTGATACAATGTGTTTTAAAAAACAATAAAAATTATTTTGTTCCCTATGACAGTTATGGCAGTTAACTTTTGCCTAAACATAATGCCGAAATGATCTTTTGTTTAACTAGCTTAAAAATATTAATTTCGTAAGGATAATTTAACATTTAGGTAATCAATATTTTAGATAATCTAACTTAATTAATTAATTTAATTAATAATAGAGTAATTTTTGTATAAAATTATCGGTCAATTATTAAAAATCTATAAAGCGTATCATAAAAATAACTTGAATTAATATAAAATTCATTCAAACGACCTTTAGTAAATGGTTGTAAATAATTAATAGAATTGTAATTTTTAGAAATAGTATAGGGTGTCTCAAAAAGAACGCAAGATTTGAATATGTTATAGATTAAATTTATTTATTTTAATAATATTTAACAAATATATTATTTTCTTCGGGAGAAGTTAAGATTTAACATTGAAAAACAATATCGGGGATTTGACCCTCCCTACAGGTTATTATTCTTTCCATAAAATTTACCATCACTGAATAACACATTGCCCCATCAAATTCGTTGAGGATACGACGAATTTCTTGCTTAAGTCTCAGACATTTCGAACTTTGTTCTGGTAAACTTGTGACCTAGTGTATCCATATAAAAAAAATCACATGGCATCAGATCGCAAGATTGAAATAAGTAATTATGGTCACTTAACGAGATTAGTCTATCTGGGAACTTTTCACGCAGCAGAGGGATTGTTTCTCTTGAAGTGTAACAAGATGTACCATCTTGTGGTAAACATACAAGAATACCTACTGAGCTTGGTAATTTTCTTTGGCCACATTTAGACCAAATGAACATTAAAAATGTTTGGTTTCAACTTGTCACACTTCAAGAGAAACAATCACTCTGCTGCGTGAGAAGTTCTTGGACAAACTAATCTCGTTGCGTGGAGACCAAAACCATCCACTTAGATCTTGAGATTTGACCCCATGTAATTTTTTCTTATAGGGATACACTAAGTCACAAGTTTACCAGAAAAAAGTTCGAAATGTCTTGGAACTTAAGCAAGAAATTCGTCGTGACCTCAACGAACTTGATGAGGCAATGTGTGGCCGAGTAAAGTTAAATTTTATAGAAAGAACTAGCTGAATTACCCGTCGTTGCCGGGTTTAAGTATATAAATTTATGTAACCTGCCAAGATTAAATTTTGTTAAATCTATTGAAATTTAAATTAATAAAGATTTTTGAAATAATATTTTATACATATTAATTTAGTTTTTAAGATAATGATTATTATCATAACCTATTCGATAAGTTATAGCTTACAACTACCTGAACCTCTCTACAGTTTGGTATTCTGTTGGTCAAAAAATATTAAACCGATTTCAATTATAATTCGTTTTCAATAGCGCAGTTATCGACCTGGTCAAAAAATATTAAACCGATTTCAACCCTTTAAATTCAAAATTTCGAAAAATCCTTTCTTTGCGCACGTCTACATCATAATAGCTATCTGTATGCCAAATTTCAGCCAGATCCGTCCAATGGTTTGAGCTGTGCGTTGATAGCAGTCAATCAGCTTACTGTTTTATATATACAGAAAGAATATTTTATATATATAGAAAGAATAAGCGCCTGTAGGGCTAGTAGGTAGGGGCATATGCCCGATATTGTTTTTCACTGTTAAATCTTAACTTCTCTTAAAGAGAATGATATATTTGTTATATTTTTTTTAAAAGAAATAACTTTAATTTATAGCAGATTTAAATCCTGCGTTATTTTTAAGACACCATATACTTATGAAAATATGTCATTTGAAAACTTTATTTTTGACTTAACATTTTCAAGGTCTTTCAATACTTTGTAATGCACTATGTACATGATTGTATAACGCAACAATATACCTACATTTAAGTAATAGGTACAAAAATGTTACTTTTATTTTAATATTTTGCGTCTATCACACTTACTTTTATTTATAACTCATGTTGCGACTCAAAGACTATAAAAGTTAAAAGCGTTTCCATGGTTGTACATTACCGATATAATCTAATTTTAAATTATTTAGTTAGTATTATTATAACCATACAAAAATTGGTTAATAATTTATAAATTAGAAACTTTTTATTTAATTTTTGAATCAAAAATTATTACTTTTATTATTTCTTCTTTTTTAATTTTAATGCGTATATAAAATTTATATAATAATAGGTACTAACTAAATACGTAATTTCTTTATTAGCTATATCAGAATAGGAAACAAAATAATTTATATTTTAATTTTCTTTTATAATATTTAAAGAATTATATATGTTTTTTTTTTAATGGTTCGAAAATAGTAAAATGTATATATTAAAACAATTAAAGGTATTTATTGATATTTACATTTTATTAATTTTAACTTTTAATTAAAGTATTAGGAAAATTAAATTGTGTATTTGATAAATTGCCATTTTTCTTGAATATTAACTATAGAAATATTTTCAAAACTGTCGTTAACTTATTATTTATTATAGATTATTATACAAGTACTGAATAAAACCGTTGATTATTAATAAGGATAACTCTTCGTTTAATGTTTAATTTTAATTTTTTTTTTTTTATTATATACAATTTATATTTTATTCTTGCCCTCAGCTATCACATTTTTATTTTGTTTGATTAAAGAATATTAATAATTTAAAAACTCTCCGGGCGTACAGTATTAGGAGTGTAGTAAACCTAAAGCTCAATTTTATATTTTTTGAATTCACTTAATCAGTAGTGTCAGTGAGTGAAAAATTATGCTTCCATCATATCTTACTAATCTGATATTTTATAGGGCAATGTGATTAAAAATTAACAAAAACTTTTGGTTTGGAAACTAAATAAAATAAGAATAATTAGTGCAATTATAAATATTAGAGTTTGATAGCCAAGATATATTAACTAAGAGTAAAATCACTTCAAAATCCATTACTTAAGATTACAAACAAAGCAGAGTACCATGAGGAAACAAATCATTAAAGTATCGAGAAGAAAAAAAAATGATAGTACAAAGAAGAAAACAGGATAAAAATAAATTAACAGTTAGAAGTCAATGCAATTTTTCAATAAGATCAGGATAGTCAAAATTAATTTTGATTCACAATTAAGGATTTTAATAGTTGATATAACAATTATGACTATAGTAAAAAAACACCACAGATGCAGTTATCCATATAATTAAAAATCAACTACTCCACAAAGTAGATAAAAGAACCCCCTTCCATCGGACAACCTAAACATCCAAGGCTTGAAATATTTGGTATAGATTTAGCATTGGTAGTCTGAAAGGACATTTTTGCTAACATCGTGATGCATAGTGTCATAAAGATCTACGGAAAAACCTTGTAATGGCAGCACTGATTCTAACCCCCAATGAATCGTTAACTTGAAAAAGGATTGAAATAATTAATGCTGTTAGTTTTAAAACACAAATCTAAAATCCAAGAAGTTATAACTTGGCTAAGTTTAAATGTCCCATTTATTTAATATAAAAATTATTCAGCTAATAAATATGTATAACCGAGAATATTTACAATCAAACTCATAAATCAATTTATAAAAAACGTAATTCTTTGATTTATTTATAATATTATATCAAAATAACATTTTTATTCGTAAGATATTGAAATTTAAAACTCAGTATTATTAAATGAATTCAATATTTTAATCCACAATGGAAATAAAATCTAAATTGATTTATTAATTTTAATTTAATTTTTAGAATTGATTGATTTTTTTTTTTAATTTAATTATTCTTAAAAATACTTAAATAAAATAATAGAACTGAACTTACGTATAATAATTAGAAACTTAAACATCCTCAAAAATATACTTATAAGTATACTTATTGCTGACTTTAACGTATTTATTATTTATAAGTTGATATCAATGTTGTTGCACCATATTTATGTCCAAAGCAATAAAAAATAATAATTACAGAATATTAAATAAAAAATTAATAAGACATAAAATTAATTTTGGTGTTTTCCATATACGGATATGTAAAGACGTTTTGGAAGTTATGTGAATTTGGAGACAGTCCATTCGATATAAATCCAATTAACTATAGTTTGTTAATTAACTTTAATTAACCCCGGTGATTAAAAGTGTTGTCACGTTACACCCACTGACTTTACTCGTCGGGCCTAATGTAGAGTTTGTCACCCGTCCCAACTATCCGCTGCATCAGCGTATCCGTGACTAGGGAACGAAACAACGGTCCGAGAGAGAAAGAGCGCGACGGGGGTGTGTCGATGAAAGAGGATAGAAAGACAAGGGGTACAAAAGAGGCGTGTAAGGAAAAGAGCGAGAGATGGTGGTGCGAGGAAGGAAGGAGGGAATGAGTGAAAAAGAGAAAAGAAAATAAGTGTATGTATATACATATTTCCCACACAGATGACCCATTTCCTCACCCCCCGTGCGTTGCGCGCGCACATCAGAGCCGGGCAATTTTAAGGGATGTCGCATACGAGTAGGGTGTGTGGGTGTGTAGGCCAGCGGCCTGCCGGCAACACGGGGTAACGCACGCACAGAGTCCCTTCAGTCTGACACATTCCAAACACGCCGGCGGACGCGTCATGCCAACGACCGCGAGCGCTCCGGAGGACATCTGTTGAAATCACCGGTCGTCACGTACGTAAATTTCATTTTTTCCGCCGTTTTCTCCTCGCGTGCTCTCACTCTCTCTCTCTCTCTCTCTCTGTCACTCTGCCTCTTTGTACGTCAATCTCTTCTCGGTCACCGTTCAGACCGGCTCGCGTCCGTTTTCGACAAACGCCGCAGGCCAAACGCGAAGTGACCGAACGCACCACGGACGCGATCACGCACGGTCAGAACGTTCGAACTACGCTGCCCGTCGACATCGGACCACGGTACCGAGTGATCGTGCGCCCCTGGCAACAACCGCGAAACCACCACCACACGGCGGCAGTGGCGGTGGCGGCGGCGGTGGCGGCAACGTCGAGGGTAGCGGCGGCCGCGACATAGGTAGCCAGCAGTCGTCAATCCCGCGGGACCCGTAACCGTCGTGCTTCGCCGCACGCTCCGGCCACAAGTCTCCGACGTTTTCGTATTGCACGGTCGCGAGACAGCCGTGTCGACCGCAGCCACCGCGCGGCGTCTGCTCGCGGTCGCCTCTGTGGTCCCCGGTCCGCGTCGGCGGGGCCGCGATCGTCTTCGTCACCATCACGATATGCTGTTGAAACGACGACTACAGCTGGGCGGTGGTCTGTTGGCGCTGGGCGTCGTGGCGCTGTTCGCTGTATACCCGGCACCAGTACGGTGCGATCGGTCCGGCGGCCACAACCTGGAGAGTCACCAATACAAGGACTCTAGGAAGTGCTTGCTGACGGCCGCGGCGTTCGGTTGCAGCGGCAGCGGCAAGCGGACAGTCGTGACGAAACGACACGTGGACAAACGCCAACACGGCGGAGGAGGTGGAGGAGGTGGAGGAGGAGGCGGTGGAAGAGCAGGCGCTGACGGAGGTAGTGTCGGGGGCAGCGACAGGGACAACGATTTGGATCACAACGGCAACTTCGACTACAATTACGATGACGGCGGCGGCGAAGGCGACGGTGGCGGTGGAGGATACGGAGCGGTGGATAGCAGTCTGGACACCATAGACTATTACGATCCACCGCTGATCACCGATCCCAGGGACAGGATGTTGCCGGTCATCTATAACCCCCGGCCCATGTACGCGCCGCAGCCGCCGCTCGTGCCACCGCACCAGCAGCACCATCCGCAGCAACAGCCGCCGCCACCACCGCCACCACCGTACAACAGGTACAACGATGACGTCCCTCCGATCAGCCCGTTCGAAGTGCCCATCATCGGTGAGTCGTCGCATAGGTCGTACACATTATATAATTATTACGTTCCCGGCGTACACTCCGTAAGCGTTTCCCGTGAGCTCGACTATCACGTCCGACGTGAAATACAATTTCTCACCCGTAAACGAATTTCCTTCTATTCATAAATATATATATATGTATTTATTTATTTATTTTTACGCCCGTCGAACACGTAACGCGTTTCTCGAATTTTAAATTTCGCGTTGACGCTGCACGATGATACACCGTGCATACAAAACTGTTCACGAGAGACCGCACGTGTCCTCCAGCACCGTTATTTATGAATACATTTGTTCGTTCGTCAATTTATTACAATTGTATATTATATTTTACGAAATCATTACATTTTTACAGTTGTATTACGTGAAGTAACGTAAACGTCATTACGTAGATAGTGACGTTTGCATAATCTGACTGCATCGGCAATCACTCGCTTTTTACACCGTAAATACATCCTGCCCACGACGCGTTTTTGAAGTTTTTTACTCCTCATGATGATTTACGAACCCTGAGTATAGTAGTAACGTTTTTTTTTTTTTTTAATGAAATTAGATTTCAAGTCCAGACGTGACCTGTTCGATGCACACTCGCTATTCATTATGCTCTTTCACATATAATTATTATTATTACTCTGATCGTCCGATATAGTTCACGAACAAATAATTGATAGACATTTTCGATAACTGCTAGTTTGTCTACCATGATGTACTATAGTTAGCCGAAACAAATATTCTCATACGGAAAAAAACAAATTACCTAAATTTGTTTGAAATAATACGAGTGAACTAATAATCTATACCGACGTTTTTCGTTTTGATTGATAATAGTTCTTAATTACATTATTGTAATTCGTCCAACGAAATAATCATAAATTCATTATGTCATTCACATTTTTACTAGTCCACATTCCACTCGTATTGACATAAATAACAATACATTTTTATAAGTATACGTCCATACTTTTTTATATTGTACATATTAATTTCTTTAATTTTTCCGTGACGATTTTCATTTTTATTTGATTAAACTGAATTAGCTTTTATTTCGTATTAAAAATGTTACAATAAAGAAAACGTACGTTTTCCTTTATACCTGTTGCAGTTTTGCGCACGTAATAGTTAAAACCAATTACAAAAAATAATGCCGTTATAACCACTATCATTTAGTTTATGACTGAAACTTCAATAAAAAAAATTAATAAAATTCACAGCAACTAATAAAAATTTATACAACGATTTAAAAAAAAAGAAATTCTGAGAAATAAATTCAATACCTCAAAAATCGAAGTACTCTTCATAATGTCTTAATTATTTTACAATAGGTACATACTAGAGCATTACAATTATAAATGTTTTCGATTTATTCACCCACTATTGCATGATACAGCATTGCATAATATTTATTACATAACATTCATTTAAAACATATTAAGTGGCCTTTTTATACTCGATTGCTAATTATTTGTGTTTTATTACTGTACTCACAGAAAATACATGTTTTGACACGTTATTCATGATTTATATATAAATTGCATTACAAATGTTTAAATAAATTATTAATTTGTGTATACTCGTACTTTTGGAAGAAATATTGATCGTCAGTTATAAATCAGTTATAATTTAAATGCTAAACATTCATAAAAAGTTAACTAAAAACTTTGGTTTTTTATTTATTGTTTATTTTTAATGTATCAAGCATGTTAAAAATGATGTACTAAAATGAAAATGTAGGAAGATAAAATATCAATCCCATGGTCAATTATATTTTAAAAATTAGGAACTGTGAACGAATTTGATAAAAAATAATCAAAATTTATTTAAATGTGTTATGTCAAAATTGTGTATAATTTTCATTTACTGTAAAATGAAAACATTAAAATGAAATACTATATACCTTTTCAAATTTATTGGACTGAAAAAAAATGTATAGAAAACCTAATTATAAAAAATTATTAACCGAATATTAAATTTTAAAGTTTGGTTGATAATGTTTAAAAACAATTTAAATAAATTGTCTTGAGTTGATTTTTAGAAAAAATGTGTACGTGGCTTAACTTAATTTTGAAACAAAAAAAAAAAAAAACTAGCTCTTTTGAATATTTTTAAGTATATCTATATTATAAATTAGAAATTGACACCACATTTATCAACATTAAATTTTGGGAATATTTTTGTATTTTTATTATATTTTATATGACAGAATTACTATAGAAATTTACATATTAAATTAATCATAAAATTCATTAAAATGTAAAATATTAAAACATTTTTGTTAACAAATATTAATTAAAAAAAGTTGAAAAACTTAGATATTTTACTAAGTAAATTGTAATCTCAAATACGATAGCCCCCACATATTAACATTGGGTAAATAAAATAATTACTAAAGGATAGATTTGTAAATATAATAGTATAAAATAATTTATAATATATAAATATTTCTATTATTTTTTTCTCGGTATATTTTTATTTCGTGTTAGGTAGAGAACAATTTTTATTTGAAAAAAAAATTACAAAATGGATTACCTATCGAACAGGTTGTCTATAATGAGATAGTATACTCATCAGACGTTCCATTATTGGGTTATATAAACATAATATATTTTATTTTAAAGGGTTTGGATTAAATAGTTATACATCTGGATATTAGCTTAGAGTAAAAATGAAAATAAAATAAAATAGAAAAATATTTTAAATTTAACTATCTTCATGGCGTGATCATTTTTTCAATATTAGCAATGAATTTTTAAATAAAATATTTATACTTAAAAATTAAAAACTTAAACTTTTTGATAACCAAATTGCAAAACAAATTTATTTTATACCATGTACTAAAAAATTTAATAAGCTATTATTTATTTATTTTTTCTTAGTTATAGTATGTACTTAATATTATTTCATAAACACTTAGAATTAAAAATAATTTTAGTTTGTCTTAAGATTGGTCTGATACATACTTTTGCATTAAAATAATTCGCTACAATAATTTACTTCTATTTTAATTTTATTTTGTATACATATAAATGTAAGATATATGTGAAAAATATCTCATTAACGACGGAAAAAGTTTAAAATCATGCAACAAACAACTAAAATATACTATTGACATGAAAACTGTCCACAAAAACCAATACTAAAAACTTCCTAACAATATCAATAAATATAACTGATAGGTGAAAACGTATACAACGGCAAGAACTATAACTTGTTATTTATTTTATATATACTTTTTGAACATTTTAGAAACTATTTACATTTTTTTAAATTTATATCGGTGAACATATCTATCGAAATTAATAGTCAAAAAAAATAACAATAAATTACCTAGACCTAAGTTTGATATTTTTTTATTGTTTTAATCTTCGGTGAGGATATATTCTGAAATCTGAATCTCAAATAAATCATTAAAATGAATTTTAGTCTTTAGTGTTATTAATATAAATTTGAAAAATGATAAATAATTTTGACGGAACAATATGAATATAAATTATAAGTTCCCGTAAAAATATTTTTGTTATTCCAAATTTTTAATACATCTATAAATCTCATAAAAATTTTAAATTCAGCTAAATATTATTTATTTTTAAAATGTTGAGGAACTCGAATAGTATAAGCTTCTTTTTATTTAAATACATTTTAGATTTAATAAATATATATGTTACGGGTAATGTTGAAATTTGGATAATGTTGACATTATCCGGCTAAAGTCGACATGTTATCATTACCCGCCATGAATGTTGGCTAATGTTAACATTAACCGGATAATATGACATTAGACAAGAACTTTTAGATAATGTCTTAACACTAGAGTTACCAGATTATATTTTTCAGAACCCGGGACTTTTTGAATGGATAAATATTATATATATATATACCGCCATATGAAAAAAATATATATATACATATATATTTCTTTTAAATTAATTATGTATAGAAGCAATATAATAATAATAATAATAATAATTTATATTCTTAGTCTTCTATTCGGATCTTTTGGGGTGCAGTGTTTCTTCTGTTGATTTTGCTACATATTTGACTGATCCATAAACTTGTTTTAATAAAGACTTGTTTCCCAAACTTTGGTCGTGGAATTTTTCATAAGATGTATTATTGAAGCACGTTTTTATAATATACGGTTTTTATATCTAATTATTATCTTAAATTTATCCATGTGCTGTTCATCAGTACATTTGAACCCGACAAAACAAAATAAATTCAACAACTTTTAATAGCTCAGAAAATGCATAATTGTTATCAGTGAATATTTTGAAAATATACATCCATTTATTTTCTATTTTTTAACAATACCGCTCGTCATTTTGTTGATACATTTTTTCAAACATTTTGAATTGTTCGAAAAACATTTATTCATCAAAATTAAGATTTTTTGACATTATAGCTTTTATAAAGATTACTGATTTTTGACATTTTTCCAATTTACTATTGTCTTTGGGGCTAATGTTGTCCATAACATTGATTTTAAATTAGTTACATATTAATTCGAATTGTTCCATTTTTTTTTTAAATAGTTGTAACAAAGTACATAAAATTCATCACATTAACTTTCAAAATTAGCTCTATTGATAATTCCCTCGTCCTCAAGTTTTGTTACGAGATATTCAATTTCCACCGTGAGAAACCGATCCTTTCTTTTGTTTTCAATTTCCTTCGTATTTTATCGAGTAAAATGTTGAAACAGAGACAAATCACTGTGTCCCGAAACACTTTCTCGGGGCACCAGGACACTTGGTTAAAAACCGGTAGTGTCCCGGTAAAACCGGGACGTATGGCAACTCTACTTAACACCATAGAAATTTAACGTACATGAGATAAAATTATTGTAAATCATTAAAAATATTAAATATATTTAACATACAATAAATTAGTAATTATCATAAAATACATAATATTATTAATATGAATTTATTTTTTATTTTTAATAATCTAAACTAATAATGATACATTATTGAATTTCATTTTATA